TTAGCTTCCTCCTGGCCCAGGAGATAGATAGATAGGTAGGTAGGTAGGTAGATAGATAGAGAGATAGATAGATAGGGAGATGACATGGAGAGGTAGAGAGAGAGGTGGGGAGAGAGAGAATCCAGATGAGTAACAGCTGGATAATTATAGATGAACGGTACTGAATCTCTCTGGATGTGGAAATCACGAACACTTATTTACGTGCATTTTCTGCTAAACTATGAATCATAATCACTGATGAATAGGAGACATAAATGGGAAATTTGCAGATAGATAGCCAATAAACCCTTTAAAAATTCAACCTGACTCATCATAAGAGAATAAAAACAATGATCTGACATGGTTTGAAATGATCACATTGGCAGTTGTCTCCGATGATGAGCTCCGCTGTGACTGAGGCACATAGAAACATGATCAAGGGATGATGAGAATTAGCACAATCTTTCTGGACAATAACTGTGAAACCTGTAACAAAAGTGCGAAAGTTGTGCACACCTGTTAGTCTAAAACTGAAAATGTTATGCACCAAGGAAACTATCCTGAAATTTGAAAAGGGTTAGCTTCATTGCAGTGGTATTTAAAACTGAGAGAAGATTTGTGAAACTTCAACCTTAAATGGACATTATGGTGCCTGCAAACAAGTCTTTCCACGTTGGTTATATTGTGCCACCAGCTCCAAAAACAAGGATGACTGAGGCCAACGTGGGTGAAGAAGAAGACTCATCACCCACAGAGTTTATAGAAAACTGGAGAGCAGCTCTTGGAAGGTATCCGGATCCTGCTTTCAAGCAGTTCTTGGAAACTCGAAGCTGCTTAGAACAGTCAACACACAGGTCTGGGTGGGGAATGAACATTGAAGATGGTGAACCAGGTGGTGATGCTGTCCACTAAAGGACAATCAAGAAAAGCAGCAGCAATTTGAGAATCTGGTTCAACAACTTGAGAAGCTTCAGGCCATGGTCGAAGCCTTGGTCTGTCATAGGAAAGAACTTCAAGCCAACACAGCTGCCTTTGCCAGGAGTGCTGCCACGTTGGGTCATCCCGGGCAATCCATGTTGCTTGGTCTCAGCTCACAGGGGTTGGGAAGATGGACGAGTCACATCAAGAACAAGTGTTTGCCAACTTGTGTTGTTTTCAGAAGGAATTAGTGATGGCATTCCTCTTCCTGCTGTAGGTTGTTGTTTGACCATCGAATGAAGTGCTGGCAGAAGTGGAAAGATGCTCAAGTTAATTTGCTCCAAGAAAACGTGAAACCGAGGCCAAAATGATGGTTGCTAGCAAACCAGATAGAATGCAGCAAGCTAAAATGAGATAAGAGAGGAGGAGGCAGAAGTACAAGGAGAAAGGGATTTCGAGCGGAGCTCTCTAACAGTTCTGAGAGGTGGAAAGATCTTAGAAAGAAAGAGTACAGGATTTTAACACTGCCCCCTGGAGTCCTCACAATCGTGGGCACAAACACTACTGGAGGCTTGCCTACCTGAAGCCACGGCCATGGCCAAGCCGGCAGATGACTCCTGCTGGGAAGACTTAGGATGTTCGTCCAGTTACGCTGAATTCCACAGTGAGAACATCTAAAACCATCTAGATCAACCACTAGATACTTTATGAGTGACGTGGGCTTTTGTATATATGCTCAGACGTGTTATTATTGGCTGCATGTCCTGGCTGTCTTGAACTAAGTGGACTGCGACACGGCATTGTGCAATGTTCTGCTGGACTGAATGCCTTTATGTCTCAAATATTTGCATTTAAGAAGAGCAATGCAAGGTGAGAAAAACTTACCCTGGTTTTTTCTTTACAGTATGTTCTGTAGGTTCACTGCCCTTATGATATAAATTATCAGTGCATGGGTTAATGTTCACTTATACATTCCTATACAGTAATTATGATTTTGTGATGACACTAACACAAGGATGTTCCTTGTGGGAAAAAAAATGAACCTTCCAGTAGTGATTGATAAAAAGATCATTTAAGATCTGTCCTCAAGGGCCGGCACCGCGGCTCACTAGTCTAATCCTTTGCCTTGCGGCGCTGGCACCCTGGGTTCTAGTCCCGGTCGGGGCGCCGGATTCTGTCCCGATTGCCCCTCTTCCAGGCCAGCTCTCTGCTGTGGCCCGGGAGTGCAGTGGAGGATGGCGCAGGTCCTTGGGCCCTACACCCCATGGGAGACCAGGAGAAGCACCTGGCTCCTGGCTTCAGATCAGCATGGTGCACCGGCCACAGCACGCCGGCTGAGGCGGCCATTGGAGGGTGAACCAACGGCAAAGGAAAACCTTTCTCTCTGTCTTTCTCCCTCTCTCGCTCTCCACTCTGCCTGTAAAAAAAAATCTGTCCTCAAATCCATCATACCTAGGTTTTTAAGGTTTTACTGGTGTGTTCTTCTAAGCCTTCAGTAAGTAGAGAGTTAACTTGATAACTTCAGTATTCTTGATAGGAAAAACTGAAATGCTTTTAAAAATCATTCTGTAAGATCAGCTTAACCTTGTAGCAAAACAGAATGAGAACCCCACCAAATCCCCTGAAATGGAAGAAACATGCATTAACATAGGCTGACAAAAACTAGCCTAAAACAAATGACTCCAGCCCTTCAGTGTGTATAAAGAATACATTGACCAGAGGGTTCATTTTGGGAATGTACAGTGCTGTGGTTCAAGATGGCATTTCAAATCAGCGAAAAGAGTGGGCTTTTCAGAATCCGTGTTGGAGCCAATGACCTCTCTTTGTCGTTAGATTCTTACTTTACCCTGTGCACAAATGCAATTTCTGGAGCAACTAATAGTCTCACTAACAGAACTGTCACTTGTTCAAACATTTAGGGAAGGCTTCATGGAATTCTGGGGTAGGAAGCCTCCCAAAACGAGATGGAGAACTTAGAAGCCCTGAAAGATAGGACTAGCAGATTGGACTGTGGAAAGCTTAAAGTACTTTCCAGGAAAAATCTCCATGAGCAGTAGCCAGTCATTTACCAACCATGGATACCAGATGAAGTGTTCCCAGAAGCACTGCTGTGGAAACCCAAACGGATAAAGGCCAAATACAAAGCAATATACTTTTTTATTATTTTTATTTTTTATTATTTTGACAGGCAGAGTTAGACAGTGAGAGAGACAGAGAGAAAGGTCTTCCTTTTGCCGTTGGTTCACCCCCCAAGTGGCCGCTACAGGCAGCGCGTTGTGGCCGACGCACTGCGCTGATCCGAAGGCAGGAGCCAGGTGCTTCTCCTGGTCTCCCATGGGGTGCAGGGCCCAAGCACTTGGACCATCCTCCACTGCACTCCCGGGCCACAGCAGAGAGCTGGCCTGGAAGAGGGGCAACCGGGACAGAATCCAGCACCCCAACCAGGACTAGAACCTGGGGTGTTGGCGCCGCAGGCGGAGGATTAGCCTAGTGAGCTATGGTGCCAGCCAAAGCACTATACTTTTAAAAGATCAATAAAATTGATAATCCTTCAGCAAGGTTGGCAACAAATTCAGGAATGAGGAAGTAGGAAACAGATTACTAGGAATGAAAAGGGTACTCGGAACAGTAGCAAAGGAGATGAAGAATTGAATTGGAATTGTAATCAGGCTCTTTGTGACTCCATGGCAGAAGTTTGCAAATGTCCATGGAGGGTAATTTTTAGGAAAATATAAATTATTAAAATTGACACAAGAAATATTTTGTAGGACAAATAGAATTCATTTGTGCATATAAATGAAATATATACATGTATTAGATACATGCTAGATTTGTACATGAGGTATATAGACATATACTAGATATATATACCATTTATATACACACACACTAGATATATACTGGATATATCTTATATATTAGATATTTAAATAGATATACTACATTATATATATAGACACTAGGTGTATCTAATACACAGATATGCTAGCTATGTAGTATGTGCAAATACTAGTATAAGAATGTATAGATACATGCGATATATACATATATAAACATGAGATACATATATTTATAAATCTATAGATAAGATGTATATATACACACATGTATCATACAGTTTATATATGTGTATATATAATTGATGTATACCATATCTATAAAAACTAGATATGTCTAAAAACTGGATACATAATATACATGACATATTAGGTATATCTGTATAGTAGATATGGATACATAAATATACAAGATACATATGTATGATATATAAATGAGATTTATACCATATCTGTAAGTACTAGATATACCTATATACCAGATGTATAGATACACAAAGGTACTATATACATATATATAGTATTCATATCTATAAATACTGGGTATACCTATATACCAAAGGTATATCTACACAGATGTACCATATACAGTACACACACACACACATATATATATATACACAAATGCTGCATATGCACCATATCTATATATTGAATGTATCTATAGAGCAGATGTAGAGATACACAGATGTACCATATATAGTATACGAATGCTGTATAAATACTGGGTACACCTGTAGACCGGATGTGTAGATGCAGAGAGGTCCCGTATACAGCGCCTATGTACGAAGGCTGCACACACACATGTCTATAAACACTAGATGCACCGTGCCTAGATGCAAGCCCCGGTTCCCCCCGGAGAAGCGCTCTGCGGGGCGGGGACGAGATGGGGCTCACTTTCTAAACGCCACACTTCGGAGCTGCAGACAACAACCGTCCACCGAGTTTATAAAAAGGAACAGGCACAGTTGGTAAAAGACTCCGCAGGGAGTCCCGGAGCAGTCGGAGCTGTGAGGACCAGCACAGGGAATCGAAGAGCCCCCATTTCGGGGTTGCACTTGCCCCCACCCCCACCCCGCGCTCTCCCTCTGCTTCTCACTGCCTGTGACCCCCAGGCGTTGGTTGAGGAAGGCAGAAAGGACAAAGCAGCCACGAGTTCGAATCTCTACCTCGGCTAGGGCCAGGGTCTGAGGGCTCCGGGTCCCTGCGCGGGATCTGCGCCCACCCTCTGGGGCTGCAGCAGACGCCCGGGGAGTGCGGGGCCAGTCTGGTCCCGAGGCGCTGGGCGGGGGCGGGGCCGCAGGTGCCTCCCCCGCGGCCGCTCGCCTCTCGCCGCCCTCTCACACCCACACCCGCTCGCGCCAGGGTGCGGAGCGGCTCCGGGCGCGCGGGGCCAGCGGAGGACGGAGCCCAGGCCGGGGCTGCGCGGGAGACCCGCGAACCAGCGGTTGGAACCGGAGTCGGAGAGGGTGGGGTGGCCACTTCTCATCTTTCTTTCACGCTTTTTTTCCTTTCTCTTAAAGAAGGAAAAAAAAAAAAACCCAAACCCTCCCCCGTTCCCAGAGCGACTTGGACGAGCAGGGAGTGACTGGAAGGACTGACGCAGAGGTTTTATTTCTGAGCCTTGGAGAAGTTCTGGGCAAGTCGCCGGCCGGGACGCGCGACGCCCCGGGGCAGCGCTAGCCCCCTGCGCCGGCTCAGCCCGGCCGTGCCCACGGGCAGTTGAGCGCACAGGAGCCAGGCGCCCCACGACTGTGTTTGGCCAGTAATGGTGCTGCTGGTGGGCTGCACCCAGGTGTCTTGGCTCGGCGAGCGTTCCCACCAGGTAAGCGCCCCGCAAGGGTCTCCACGGGGCGGCTGGGTGGGGCCGCTCGCTCCCCAGAAGTCCTCTCTGTTTGCCACCGGCAGGCGCGGGGACCGGTGGAGACAGCCCGCTTTCATCACAGGAAATCGTGGCAGACGGGGGTGGAAGGCGGTGTAAAATGTCTTATTTCTGCCTGGGTGTTCCGCGGAAACGGCTGCGGCGCGGGGCGGGGGTGGGGGCAGCAGAGCCTGACGCTTTTTGCGGTGAGAGGTTTTGGTCCTGCAAACGTGCGCGACGTTGAAGAGCAAGCATGTGAGCATTTCCGGGCAACGGTGCGGGAAGCACTTACCGCCCAGGCCCCGCCTGACCCTTCCTTCCTTCCTCGGCCTCCGCTAAGGCGCCCACGGACACCGGCGGCCTCGGCGGGCTTCAGCACCTCGGACAGCGCCCGGCCCCGGGGCGCGCCTGGGCTCCTGCGTCCCGGGGGGCCCCCCAGCCGCCGCTCCCCTCCCAGGGCCGCTGCGTCACACCGCCCCCAGCTCCGAATCGGAAAAGCCGACGTGGAGTTGATTCTTTATCTGCTTTTAGCGGCTTTCCTGGATTGTATAAGGAAGGGGCGGAGTAGAGAGACCCCACCACCACCCCGAGCAAACTTGCGCGAATACCGCAGCTGACCGGCTGTGGCTTCCTGGGTTTTAAGTATCCCCAAACTTCTGCGAGCGTGTAAGGTTGGATAAGCGCTTACCGTGGGCCAGGGCCCTATGCCAAGCACTTCCCAGGAGCTACAAGTTTGTGCACTGTTATTAACCTCATTTTATAAATGATGAAACTGACAGGAGAGGACTGAAACCCTGTGTCGGCTGTAACAGTGGGAGCCTGTGCCTGAGCAGAATTTCCTTCGTGAAGTAGTCGCGTGCATGCATTTCCAACCCTTGTCTGCACCGAATGAAGCTTCTCTTTTAATTCCACTTTCCACCCACTCTTTGACGTACCCCTGTATCTCTGGACTTCCGATCAGAGGAACGGAGTTTGAATCAGAGGTGCTGCCGCCTACAAAGGTGTGCCTCTAGACAAAGTCACCAACCTATCTGAACTTCAGGCTCCTTGTGTGTGAAGTTAAGAGGACACTTTTCTTGCAGAAGTATGTGTGTAGGGGGGTGGGGTGGGAGGTAGTCAGAGGGTCTTGAATGTGGAGACACTCAGTAAACTGCAGATTGTGATTGGGTTATGGGAGCAGGGCCCTGGAAGAGACGGAGGGTGAGTAACGAATGCTGGTGCACCTGCCAGGGGCCTGGGCTCGGGGGAGCTCAGTGCTGAGAATTCTGCACGTGGCCATGCAGCAAAATAGTCACTGACTTTTCCAGGATGCTGTAGAGAGTGTCCACATGGTGCCTATCATTTGGTCCTTATTAGCAATTCAGTGAAGGAGGCAGATTTGGGGTTATTCTAGTATCTGGTGGAAGGGTGCTTGCCCTCAGTTACTCAGGTCTGTAGCAGCAGAGCTGGGCTTAGAGACCAGGTCTTCTGTGTTTATGTCCCTCAACCCTGCCTCCAGCGACAGGAATATCCTCTAGAGTATGGGTCACAGAGCAGTGGCTGCACACAGTGCAGGTCCCATAAATACGTGAACTTGATGGCTTTCAATGAAGTCTGACCAGCAGAAACAGCAATTTCGTATGGATCAATCAAAAATATCTTTTGATTATGTTCTCTAAGAAATTTAAAGCACTTTATAAAGATCTGCAAAATTTCATATTTACAAAGAGAAGAATTCTTCAAAAAAGTTGTAGAAAATGGAATTAAAAGCTGAGCTTATTTTGGGGCAAAAATAATCTTTTATATCCACACAGAGTTGTTTCACAATCATCATTTTTCATACACTTTTTGAAGGCCCTTCATGGAGAAGTAGTTGAGAAAATAGAAGAGAAATGGGGGCAAGGCTATACTCAAAATGAATATCAAACATATTATTGCAAAGTTCTAGAAACCTACTCTGATTCACTAAGCGCAGTAAGTGCCTATCCATGCCCCTGCTTGGAGGATCTAAAGAGCTTTTCAGATGTTTGCAAAACTCCCGAGGCTCCTTCTCTTTTCCATAAAGCAACCTCTGAGCTGTCTGAGAATGCTGTCACTGTGCCGTACGGGTGAGATCTGCCTGGAAATCCAGTGTCAGTGCGTCTCAAGGAGGACTAACGTCAAGAGTGCTGTGTCTGTGCGGAAGCAGTTGTTACTTATGTAATTTATAATGGCTCACACGAGCACACCTCACTTCAGACTTACAAAAAGGCACTTCTCCAGCTATCGGCTTGTTTCAGCCTCCTAACAGACCCAGAGACTGGAGCAGTGACAGAAAGGACAAGACCGCAGCATCCTGATTCAGATCTCATGTGGTTTACTTTTACCCACAAAGCCACATTTTGGGGACGGGTGTTAGGTGTGCGGTTGAGTTGCCTCTTGAAAAGGCCACACTCTGGATTGGAGTGCCCTGGGTTTCAGTCCCAGCTCTCCTTTCCTGCTAGTGTGCACCCTGGGGGGCAGTGGTAGTTTGGTCAAATGGATGGGTCCCTGGCATCCTTGTGAAACATCTGATTGAGTTCCCGGCTCCAGACTTCAGCCTGGCCCCGCCCTGGCTGTTGCTGGCATTTGGAGAGTGAACCAGTACATGGGAGATCTCTGTCTGTCTCTGTTTCTCTTTCTTCAGATCCTGGGTTCGGAGAGATAAAAGGCTCAGTTTCTAAACTCGCTGAGAAAGGTTGAACAGGTTAGCTCCTCACAGTCAAAAAAGACAATGACTTTCATAGTCTGTGGACAATGACATAAGAGCTTCAGGACAAAGATGGTGAACCCTCCCTTCACCTGCTGCTGCTGTTACAGAGGTGTCGTTTTGAAAGTTTGGTGTTGGTTTTTAGTCTTTAGTGCTTCTTCTCCATCCGTTGTGCCACTGGAAGTTATATAAGAGGACTTCATGGGAAGTAGAACTAAAAGATAAGTTTATTTTGGTGCAAAAAATTTTGAAATCCGTGTATGCCTAGGTATCTTTGAAAAGTTCATGCAAAATGTGTGTTATGAAAAAACAGTGCATAGATTTCAAAAATGTTTTGCCCTGAAATACCTTTTTAGTATATGTGCTGCCGAAGCGAGCACGAAATATCTTATCTTTTAATTTCATTTTCAATGGTCTTTTAGAAATCTGTCATATTAGTTGTTGTTGTAATGGAGCTGTGTCAAACAGGAAATAGCCTCAAGCAGTGAGATGGGGGTGGGGTTGAGATATGACGGAAGGAACTGGGCAGTTTGCTGAGTCCTCCGTGTATCCTTATTTTGAAACTATGAGAAAGAACCATTTTGGATTTTGATAATTTTTATTTATGAGAGAGAGAGACTGAAAAATAGCTTCCATCTACTGGTTCACTCCTTAAATGCCCTCAATGGTCAGAGCTGGGAGCCAGGGACTCAATCCAGGTCTCTTGCGTACTTAAGCTATCACTGCTGTCTTTGGGGTCTGCAGTGGTAGGAAGCTGGAGGCAGGAGCCAGAGGCAGGTTCTAAGTCCCACTCCTCGGATGTGGGATGCAGGCATCCTGACTGATGGGCTAAATGCCTGTTACACGGGGTTGCTCATTTTTTTTGACAGGCAGAGTGGACAGTGAGAGAGAGAGAGAGAAAGGTCTTCCTTTTGCCGTTGGTTCACCCTCCAATGGCCGCCGCGGCCGGCGCACCACGCTGATCCAATGGCAGGAGCCAGGTGCTTCTCCTGGTCTCCCATGGGGTGCAGGACCCAAGAACTTGGGCCATCCTCCACTGCACTCCCGGGCCACAGCAGAGAGCTGGCCTGGAAGAGGGGCAACCGGGACAGAATCCGGCGCCCCAACTGGGACTAGAACCCAGTGTGCTGGGCCGCAAGGAGGAGGATTAGCCTAGTGAGCCGCGGCGCCGGCCAGGGGGTTGCTCATTTTTGAAGATGAAAACTTGGTACCTAGACTAGCCCAGGTGGGTGAAATGTCAGCATTCTGGATGTGTAACAGCTCCTCAGTCAGGATTGCTGCCTTTTCCTCCAACAAAATCTAATCTTTCCAGCCTTAGTTGTTCTCAACCTTTATCTTCTGTGAGGTGCAACGGGAGGCAAATCCTCCAGGTCAACTGGACTCTGGTTGACCCTGCTATCCTCTCTGGATCAGAATCAGAGTAGCTGAGACTCCAACAAGCTCTTAGATATGGGATGCGGGCATTGCAAACAGCAGCTTAACCCGTTGCAGCCTCCTGTTCCTGATTGTATGCATCTCTCTGTCCTTAACACCCAGCACAGAATAGATGGTAAATGCATGTTTGGTGAATGAATGGATGAGGATGAATGAGTAAATGAACAAGTAATTCTGCTGCTTTTGCCAAGATTTGTGTAACTATAAGAACTATCAGTAAAGAAATTAAGTCAAGCTATCAGAAATAGAAGCATACTCCTTTATTGGGAGGATTCTAAGCTTTGAAGTCCAAATAGCTCAAGACTCAGCTTCTCCCTCTTGCATCACCCCATCTGCACATGCGGCTGGCCTATAGACGTGGTCTTACCCCCAGAATTCTCAGCACTTCAGTTCCTACAAACAGCTCAAAGGAACAGGTGTTTCTCAGCCTCAATTTCAAATCCCAGTCCAGGTTGAGTCAGTCATGCACATGGGGTAGGTCACGTGGTACAAACTCACCTGCCAAGGGCTTGGGGAGGGGGGCAGGGAGCATAGGTATCAGAGAGAAAGGACCACTCTGAGCAGGCAAAAATGCTCTGAACAGTCACCCGCAGATGAGCCACTTCTTCACCTTGGCTCCAGTTTCTTCACCTGCAAAGTAGGGGAGAAACTTTCCTGAATGGGGCGTCCAGTTAGGGTTGAAGGAAGGCAGCAAGAACACACGTATTAATGCCTGTTGAAGTCATCAAACTTCGGACAAAAGGATGAAGGAGAAAGGGAAGGGATGCGTTATCAAGCTCTCCCCAGCTTCCTGCCAAGTGCACTGCTTGCTTGCGTGTGTGGAAGTTGTTTATTCTCTTGTGTCTTGGAAAGGCTATTGGGTGATGAAGGGAGAAGAGTCTCTCTTCCATCTCTTTCTTGTCCCCAATCTCTTATTGGTCAACATCTCTTCTACCAGGGTTAATGCTGCCTCACACGCAGGTTGGGTGCCTTTGTCTGTCCCAGGCACCTGCTGGAGAATTGTCAGGTCAGGTTCAGTTTCTCCTTGTTCATTGAAACCAGGTGTGGGGCCCTCCACCATGGCAGAAGCAGCAGCAGTGACCTGAGTCCAAGACTGTGGAAATGACATGGCAAGGCCACTCAAGCAAGAAAGCCAGGCCAGGGACAGGAGGAATGGAGAAAGCTATGCAAATCTGGGATGATGCACACATACTCAAAATGAAAAGAGTAAGAGAAACCAGCATGCCAACGGTTAATGTTAGCCCTGTACATTTTATCTGGGCTACGAGAGTGAGGGAAGAACCTGATTCTGTCCTCAAACAAAGCTCTTGCATTTTCATCATGTAAGGAATTCAGTAAGGAGCCCCACAGTGAGAAAAAAAAAATGGTGATAGACAACATGCAAAATAGCTCACTGAGCACACAGAGTGTTCTGGCTGTGGGTGGACTGGATATTCCAGGCCACGGTAAAGAACTTGGCTGCTTTGTCTCACTGCTGCTTTCTCCCTAGAGGCTGGGTCCGGGGCAGGGGTTGATTGGGGGGCAAGGCCTGAACCTAGGGGAGGAAGTGGCTGCTGGCTCCCAGTGAAGGGGTGGGAGGACCAGTCTCCGAGGTGGACCATCCTCTTCCTCTCTCCTTCCTCTTCTCCTCCGTCCTTTGACTTTGAAGTAGACCAGAGGTACGTGATTTGCAGCACACGCAACACAAGATAAGATGATCAGCTGTTTGCCCTCCTTCCACCTTCTCTTCCTCCTTCCCCCCGGACTTTCCTTTATTCTACTTTCCCATTATTGCACCCCTGGCAAGGGAGAAGAGAGAGTTTCTGCCTCAAGGAGCTCGAGTTCTGTGGCCAAGGTTGACCCAGATCATGGCCAAGATCAATACCCAGTGGAGGGCGTTGCCAAGTCTGCAGCAACACGGGGATTCAGCATGCAGTTTTTATCCTTGGGCGTGTTGTGTGTATGTGTGTGCACACATATGCATACGTGTGAGAAAGGAAAATAGAACCCAAAGAGAGTGTAGGGGCTATGAGGGGGGTCTTCAAAAAGTTCATGAAAATGCACTTTATGAAAAAAACTATGCATGCCTCTCAATTTTTTGCATGAAAACAAACCTATCTCTCAATTCAATGTTCTACAAACCTTTTGAAGTACCCTTGAACTACAATTTCTCATCTATTTTCTCCTTGATGGGTTGTGTCCAGTTTTTGTCCATCCTGAACAGTGCTGCCAGGGTCTTCTGCTTCACATATTCATTAGTAATCTACTGCTGTGAACAGGCCAACCCCAAACGAGAGGCTCAAAACAATGCCTGTTCAGTGGCTCCCATTTCTGCGATGTTGGCCGGGCTCGGGGTGTTTGCTCTGCTGCCCTCATCTTGGCTCACGCGTGCAGCTGTCGTTAGCTAGGGGCTGGCCAGGACCAGGTGGCCCAAGGTGTTCTCACCCCTATCCTGGGGCTGTCAGCTGGAGCTCCAGGTGCCCTTTCTGGGGGCACAGCCCAGACTTCTCTAGGAAGCAGCTAGGTCTTCAGGGATTTTGCACACAAAATTACTTTGGCTGTACTTTCTCGGTCAGAGCAGTCCCAAAGCTGACTCCTCATGTCTATGGCAACATGGCAGGCCATCGTGGCCTTGTGTTGTGGTCTGCCACAGGTGTAAAGTGAGGCATGGAATGACCAGGCTGATGTTTGGGGACACCAACGTACCGTGCCAGCAGGTTCACCCGTCTGTCCATCCCCACCCGTCCTGGGTCCTCGCAGCCTATCTCATTCTCCCCACCTCACCGAGCTGTCGTCAGACTTCCCTGGAGAATTAGAGAAGCTGAGGGCCTCTTTGCGTGCTCACTGGCCATTTGCGTATCCTCTTTCAGAGGGAGTGATTTGTAGGAGTTCTTTATATAGCCTGTGTATGAGTCAGTGGCGTCTTCCTCCTCCCCCTCTCAGATCTGGAGTGATTTTCCTCTTGATTACAAAGGAAGTAACATTTGAGCTGCAGTTTGACGGGTGATGAATAATTAAGGAAGAGCAGGGAGGTCTTATAGTTAGAAACATGAACAGTGCCAAGAGGGGGGAGAGTGTGGTGCATTTGAGAAAGAACGAGACTTGCAGGCAGGTCGAGTGTGGCGAGGACCGGAATAGCAGCAATGGTGCTGGCGGTGGGGGGATCCGGCAGATGCAGGTCCCCTCCAGGGATTGCAAGCAAGTGGGTTTCCCCTGCGCTTTCCCCCTCATCTGTCCACCTTGGAAACCCTGCTTCGAGACTTGCAAACTTACCCGTGCGGAGGCCTTTAACACAACCTCCACATGTCGGGCCACAGAAGGGCTAAAATAATCCAAATGGTGGAGAGAGAAGGAAGCTAAAGGCTCACACGCCCTCTCTCTTTCACACTCACGCACACGCACACACATAGAGAAAGTAGATCATGGACATGAAGTAGGACATGGAGGGAGAGAGAGGGAAGGAGAAGCTGAGACAGAAGGAGACCTCTTGTCAAGATATGGGAAGACACAGTGTCTTGTTGTGCAGAAAATTCAGTGGAGTCACGGTGACCTCGCAATCAGATGTAGTTATCAGAGCAACGCTTCCAAAGAAACAGGGAATGGCCGAAGCAGACAGAGTGTGAGCAGTTGATGCTTCAGGAGGGGTCGGGGAGAGCAAATCCTGTTCTTCTTCAGAGACTTCAGTGTGGTTTGGGTGTTCTATACACACACACGCATATACACACATATATACACACACACATATATATACACACACATATATACACACACATATATACACACACATATACACACATATGTATATATACACATATATATGTATCTTTATATATTAAACTTTTATTTAAAAGTTTTTTCCCCAAAGTATTAATTATTTATTCAAAAGGCAGACATACACACACAGAGATATTTTCCATTTGGGGGGACAGGGACTGGGCTGGGCTGAAGCCAGGAGCCACGAACTCAATCCTACCTCAGTGGCAGGGACTCTGTTACTTTTTTTAAAAAAAATATTTATTTATTTTACTTGAAAGTCACAGTTACACACACACAGAGAGAGAGAGAGAGAGAGAGAGAGAGAGAGAGAGGTCTTCCATCCACTGGTTCACTCCCCAGATGGTCGCAACAGCTGGAGCTACGCCGATCCGGAGCCAGGAGCCAGGAGCTTCTTCCAGGTCTCCCAAGTGGGTGCAGGGGCCCAAGGACTCTGGCCATCTTCTACTGCTTTCCCAGGCCACAGCAGAGAGCTGGATCAGAAGTGGAGCAGCCGGGACTCGAACTGGTGCTCATATGGGATGCCGGCACAGCAGGCGACAGCTTTACCCACTATGCCACAGTGCCAGCCCCGGGACCCTGTTACTTGAACCAGCACCTGCTGCTTCCCAGGGTCTGTGTCAGTGGGGAGCTGGAATCAGGAGCAGAGCCGGGACTTGAACCCAGGCCCTCCAACATCCTATGTGGCTGTCCCAAGCAGTGTTTTCACCACTGCACCAATGCCCACCCCATATCAAGTGTTTGGAAAGCTTATATCTGTCTCTCTACTTACACCCAGAGAAGCTTGCATCTGGCTATCTGACAGAGGAGTGCACCTGTTCAGGGCGGTAGAGTGAGACGGCAGGACGTGGATCAGGTGAGAGGGTGGCTGGACTCTGCCTCGTGGGGCACACGGCCCAGCTGCTTGTCAGGACCCTGGAGGCACACACGTCCACGGGAAGGGGCTCTGCTGGGCGAGACGTGGGCCGGTGTGGTCCTCTCAGGCTGACCCGTGCATCGGTGTCAAGTGCGGTGACCCGTGCATCCCGGGGCTGCTCTCTGAGCGTGGGAACTCTTAAGTCCAGAAAGGAGGCGATCGATACCGGGAGAATCAAAGCAGAAAACCCAGGTTTGTCAGACCTCGGCCGAGGGAACACAGGCTTGAGCTTTATTTCCTAATATTGATGAGCAAAAATGCAATTCCCTGGTTCACCCAGAGGGGAAGGGAGCCGGGCGTGATGCCAGCTGTTGCGTGAGAGTCGAAGGAGAATTCTGACACCTGCTGGACAAGTCGGGGCTGCGACTTGCAAAGCAGGCGAGATGTGGATGTGATTGTTTGCATTTGTTTGACTGTTTTCCTCTTTATCATAGGAGCGATGCATATTTATTTTAGCGCGCAGTGGGAATAAATGAAACCATCTATAATCCCATTACCCACAGGAAGGGTTAGCATTTTAATGCGTCTCCTACTGGTCTTTCCAATGTACATCTAACAACAGCACACGCCAAGTTGTGTATGGGTAACCTATTTGTCGCGTGTGAGTCATTGCTAAATACCGAGCTTCTAGCAATGAGCAAGCTTAGAACTTAGAGGGCCACCTCCGCGTTGAGTGTCTTGCATTTTCAGGGCCTGGCTGTGTTCCTGGCCTTCGGCTAACGACCTCTCCTGGTTGAGTGTTTTGGGCATGGCACCTCGCGCAGTGTTCACGGTGACTCTGCAAGGTTGGGACTTGCCGTGCCCCTCACTCCCAGAGGAAGGCACCACCTCCCAGATGCTGAACTTGGCCCGGGTGACCTAACTTGGGATCAGGCTGGGCTGTGACGGTTCAAGGGTCTTGTGTCCATCATCTTCCTGCACACATCAGCTCTGGAGCACCTGACCTGTCCCCCCCTCTTCTTCCCTCGCTAGGTCTGACTGCCACCGTGGCTCCGAGACCCGAAGCTGTCGCCAGGATGATGGAGGATGACACGGAACTGAGGACGGATGGCAACTCCCTTTTGAAGGCCGTGTGGCTGGGGAGGCTCCGGCTCACCAGACTCCTCCTGGAAGGGGGCGCTTACATCAACGAGAGCAACGACAAAGGGGAGACGGCGCTCATGGTGGCGTGCATCACCCAGCACGTGGACCAGCAAAGCATCAGCAAGCCCAAGATGGTGAAGTACCTGCTGGACAACAGGGCAGACCCCAACATCCAGGACAAGTCCGGCAAGACGGCGCTCATCCATGCCTGCATCAGAAGAGCGGGCGGGGACGTGGTCTCCCTACTGCTGGAGAGTGGAGCCGACCCCAGCCTGGAGGACCGGACTGGGGCTTCGGCTCTGGTCTACGCCATAAATGCGGATGACAAAGACGCACTGAAGCCCCTCCTTGCTGCCTGCAAAGCCAAAGGCAAGGAGGTGATTATCATAACAACCGATAAGTCCTCCTCGGGCACCAAAACCACCAAGCAGTACCTCAACGTCCCTCCCTCCCCCAAAGTGGAAGGCAGGCAGTCGCCACCCCTGTGTGCGTCCCCCTCGGATGTCCAAGTGACAGCTCCAAGCCTGGGCTCTCCGCCCAGGGAGAAGGAAGATGACTTCTTCAGCCTCCAGACAGGGCACTCAAGTGGCTACAGCGCCTCCAAGGCCCTCCACGAGCCTGGGTCGCCCACCAGGAGGGTGGGCGGTCTCAAGAGGGCCCGTTTGCCACAGCTGAAGAGGTTGCAGTCTGAGCCGTGGGGCCTGGTGGCGCCATCCGTGCTGGCAGCGTCCACTCGGCAGGACGAGGCCCGCGGCGCCGGCACGGACAGTGAGGTCCTCAAGGGCATCGGCGACGCGTCCCTTGCTAAACGGGGGCCCTTGTCCAGGACCAGCAGCACGGACGGCAAGGACCCCACGCTCTTCCCCACGGTCACGGAGCAGGTGCTGAAGATCCCGGGCTCTTCGGCACCGGCGACCTGGAAAGCGACCTATGAGAAGGGTCAGGCCCCCCACCCGCGTCTGGCCAGGAGGGGAACCCTCCCCGCTGACCAAGAGAAGGGGGGTGCCGGCCCAGCCGGGCCCTCAGCTCTCAAAGAGCCAGCCTCCCTCAAGTGGCTGGAAAGTGACCTCTACAGCCTGGATTTTCAATCAGGGGCAGAGTCGCCCAGCTCCGTCTCCCTTGAGCCAGGCAAAGGACCCTTAGACAGGAGGAAGGTCAACAGCTCCCACTTGACCCTGTTCCACGGCTCCCGGGAGTCCCTGGACGCCGTCCCCAGCACATCTCCCAGCTCTGCGCGGCGCCGGCCCCCGCACCTGCTGGAAAGACGAGGCTCTGGGACCCTGTTGCTGGACCGCATCGCTCACACCAGGCCCGGCTTTCTACCCCCTCTGAACGTGAACCTGAACCCTCCCATCCCAGACATTAGATCTGGCGGCAAAGCTGCTTCCCCACTTGCCAGTGGGTTGAAGTCCATGGTCCCTGTTGCTCCAAGTTCGCCCAAGAGAGTCGACTTGAGAAGTACAAAGAAGTTGCTTAGGAGGCACTCGATGCAGATCGAGCAGATGAAGCAGCTCTCGGGCTTCGAAGAGATCACGACCTAGAAGCGGGGAGAAGGGCTGCTCTTTCCTCTGCGTCCGTAGCTTAGGAGAGGGACGGCCACTCAGGCGGACACGGCCGCACCCCTCTGCATCCCCACCCCTCCTCAATGTCCCGGAGTGGCCCCGTCAGAAACCACGGAAACGGGTGCAGGTTCACTTCTGAAACAGACCCAGGGGTCATCCCAGAATCCCCCCTTCTAGAATAATCCCTGGGTTTCTAGAGGCCTAATTGTGAAGAGCTCAAGGTCATCAGGTTTTGCAGATAAAAATCACACACACACACACACATGCACACACACACATGCACCCACATGCAAACACACATGCACACAACACACACGCACATGCACACAATACACACACGCACATGCACACACATACATGCACACAATACACACACGCACATGCACACACATACATGCACACGCGCATATATGCACAAACACGCACATGCACACACATATATGCACACACATGCAAACACACATGCACACAACACACACGCGCACATGCACACACATACATGCATACACGCACATGCACACACATGCACATGCACACACACACACATGGGTTCTCCAAAGAAAGGAAATCGTTAGAGTTCAAACATAGCAAGTCCACCGAGGGACGCTGTGCACACCAGGTGATTTCTATCACACACCCAGAAAATGATTTTGCAAATTGCAAGGTGGTGTTGGGGGCGTGTCATTTCCTACAACGCTATAAAGTGCCTACAAAGACGGTGAGGCTTCCACGTGAGCTAGAACGTGGGAAATCTCTCAAAACCAATCCCTGGGTTGCCATGTCTGGGTGCTGGGTCCTATTTGATGGGGTGCAAAGAGAAATCCCCATCCAACTGGCCCTGCCGTGTGGGTCCTGCCTCCTTCTGTGGCCTGGGCACTGGCCAGCCTGCCTGGGAGAGATTGCTCAGAGCTGCCTTCAGGGAATCCGCTCACATACCAGCCTGAACCTGCTCCGAGTCCCTAGGGGCCACAGAGCCATCAGACCCCCAGGAGCTGGTGGGCGACAGCAGCGGGTGCCTTAGCATGAAATTTCCTGCAGAGACGAGACCTCCCCAGGCCCCAGCCCCGACACAGGCTCCCGGTTGGAATCTTGTGAGTCCAGGTGAGCTAACCTGGAGCTGAGTACGATGCAGTTTGTAGAACAGACCCGTAGGAAGTGTTTCCAGATCTTCTTCTTCTTCTTTTTTTTTTTTTTTTTTTTTTTTTGACAGGCAGAGTGGATAGTGAGAGAGAGACAGAGAGAAAGGTCTTCCTTTGCTGTTGGTTCACCCTCCAATGGCCGCCGCGGCCGATGCACTGCGGCCGGTGCACCGCGCTGATCTGATGGCAGGAGCCAGGTGCTTCTCCTGGTCTCCCATGGGGTGCAGCGCCCAAGCACTTGGGCCATCCTCCACTGCACTTCCCTGGCCACAGCAGAGAGCTGGCCTGGAAGAGGGGCAACCGGGACAGAATCCGGCGCCCCGACCGGGACTAGAACCCGGTGTGCCGGCGCCGCAAGGCGGAGGATTAGCCTAGTGAGCCGCGGTGCCAGCCTCCAGATTATTCTTAAGAAAGCTTAATGGGATCTACCAAAGCCAGACTGACACCTGCTGATGGGGTGTGCACGGGCTCCCAGGTTGGAAGCAGGAAGGATCATTTCTCTTTGTAGCCTAAAAATTACAGGCAATTCACAAAAAATCTGGCTCCTTCTGCGGCTGGGTGAGCGAGGTGACAGGAGGTGTGCAGAGGTAACCTGTACAACAACCTTTCAAGTGGCTTTGAACAAATCCAGAGCAGGAAGAGGAGAGCACGTGTGGCGTCACGTGGCCACGGTTAGGTGAAGATGCCCCTGGCTATTTCCCATCTCACTAAGAGGTGTGTTTGAAAGGTCAGTAGCTCCTGGGGACAGCATCCTGCAGAGAGAAGAGGAACGGCTTTGAGTCTGACAGAGCTGAGTTTGCATCCCGGCTGTGTGACCTGAAGGAAGCAGCTTACCCTCTCTGTGCCGCTGTTCCTCCAGCTATAAAAATGCCATTAGCCACACTCCACTCTACAAGGTCGCGGTAGGGACTAGAGGTCATTATAAGATATGAAACAGTCTGCAGTTGTGCCTAGAAGTTACTGGAAAAGAGGTAGCAAGTTTTTTAAAAAAGTATTTGTCTATTTGAGATGCAGAGTGACAGAGAGACAGAGAGGGAGAGAGATCTTCCCTCCGGTGGCTCACGCCTCACGTGCCCTCATCAGTCTGGGCTGGGCCAGGCAGAACCCAGGAACCCGGAGCTATGTCTGGGTCTCCCACACGGGTGGTGGGGGTCCAGATAATTTGGCCATCATTGGCTGCCTTCCCAGACAAGAAGCTGTGTGAGATGCAGAGTACCTGGGACTCGGACTGGCACCGCGACGTGGGATACGGGTGTCCCGAGAGGTGGCTTAGCCTGGTGCACCCCGATGCCCACCCAAGGCAGCTAACTGTAATTATTTCTTGCTACCTCTTAAGTTTCAGAATCCCGAATCGTACACGACGTGCTACGCAAAGTGGAGTAAAGTCGAGGTGCAAATTCTGGGCCTCCTGAGATCTCCTTGATCCAACAGCGCTGCTTCCTAAGCATGTTTGTAAAGAAAGACTTCCACATACGATCTCGATGTTTCTAAAACATCTTGTAGGAATTTATCTGACTCCAGAATAAAAAAAAGTGTCAGTGAGGCTGGGCACTGGGCCGAATGCTTCACATGTCCCACAGCAGAGGGCCTTGGCCCGTGGTGGCTCTGCTCCTGATTCCGGCTTCCTGCTAACAGGCGCCACTGGAGGCAGCAGGTGACAGCTCAAGTGACTGGGCCCCTCCCACCCATGTCGGAGGCCTGGATTGAGCTCCTGGCTCCCAGCTTTGGCCTGGCCCAGCCCTGGACATTGTATCTGGAGAGTGAACCAGCAGATGGGAGCTCTCTCTCTCTCTCTCTCTCTCTCTCTCTCTCTCTCTATACACACACACACACACACACACACACACACACACACATATATATAATAGTAATAGCACAGCTGGTTAAGCCGTGGCTATGATATCAGCAGCCCGTATGAGTGTCAGTTTGCGTTTTGGCTGCTGCACTTCCAATCCAATTCCCTGCTAATGCACCTGGGAAAGCAGTGGAAGGTGGCTCACGTACTTGACCCTGCCACCCACGTGGGAGACCCAGATAGAGTTCCAGGCTCTTGGATTTGGCCCCAGCCATTTCAGAGTGAACCAGCAGATGGAAGATTCTGTCTCTCTCTCTCTCTCTCTGTAACTCTGCCTTTCAAATAAATAAATAAATATTTTAAAAAAATGTAAAGAAAAAACAACAAAGTTTAAGGAAGTGCTAATGGTGGTTATAGACAAGAAGAAGTGCTTATTTTTTGAGAGTCCTCTAATGCAGGCTGCAATCCCCCTCAGCCCTGATGACATTTAGGGTTTGAGATGCTGGGTTGTGGGTGGCTGTCCCCTGTGCTTTGCAGGATGTTTAGCGGCACTCTGGCCTCCATCCACTAGATGGCAGTAGTGCCTTCCTCCTACTTGGGGCCCACTGTCTGCAGACTTGGCTGCAAGTCCCTTGCAGGCAGCAGTATCTCAGCTCCAGAGAAACACTATGTACGCAGTAGAAATAGGCCAAGAACTGCACAGACGACAGAGGCTATGGCTTTCAGGATTCTGGTAAACACACAGGCATGAGTGCCAGGGGTCTCTTGCACTTTGCAGTAAGAGAAGAAAATGAGAATGCGCAAGGTCTTGAAAATCTAGCTCATGCAGCAGGCTCCCGTGGCCACCCACGTGCTTCTCAGAACCATGAGTCGTTAACGGTGCCCGCCAGTTGAACGCCATGACAGGCAAAGAAGTATTTTAATGCATTAAAGGGAATCCTGCAGACAACATTCCCAGCCGTTCATCAAACACACAAAACACACATGCTACACTAAGCGCGTTTCCAGTTGCTGCTAGTGCCAGTGAACACACCTCTGCTGGCGGTCTCTAGCCATAGGGATAGCAAGACCCCCTCATAGGAGCATTTCTCTAAACCTTGCCCTAAGATCTGGAAGCCCGCATTTGTACTACGTAGCAAATGTAGTCCATTCGTAGTCATTAGCTTGAAACAGCACATGTGGTGAGCCACACCTTCAGGACGGCCGAGGCCAGTGCACAGACAAGTAACCCCGGATACTCTCCTCCCGCTCGTCTTCTGCCTCGGTCAGTTCAGGTCTTCCCCTCAGCCTTTCTCTGGACACGGGGATAGCCCCTTATCTCGTCTCTTCTGGATGACGCGTTAGCCGCATTAGACTGTTCTCAACTACTGCAGCGAGTAGAAGACTTCATTGTGACTTGTGCATCGATAAGCAGTGTCGTCCCTGTCCACACACCCCCACAGACGCTTCTGAAGGGCGTCGTTTGGATTCAAGCGTGTGTGCTCTAGATCAGAGGTTAGCTTCCCCGTTTGGAGTCCTGCCGTCAGCTGCACACGTTAGCTGGAAGCTCTTGTTATCAACAGTCCATCCACCTAGGATTCTCTGAGCCGTTCATCTGTTACCCAGAATGTGAGCCCAAAGTGTGACATTGGAAACTTCTGTTTAATTTCTAGACATTCCAAAGCCTTTAACAGTAATAAAAACAAACATAAAAAACCAGATCCATGGTCAGATCTCTTAGACTTTCATCCAGTTCCTTGCAGTGGTTCCTCGCAAGCGCAGCTGCGTCCGTCCTTTCTCCCGCGTGCGCGTGCTGGTACTGCAGGTGCACCCTGTGCTGCCTGGTCTTGGTTCTGTGGTGTAGCCTCGTCTCAAGCCAACGCTGTGATCAAAGATGTATCAAACTCCGTGTGATGAAACTAATTAGATGTTTCTGGTACGTCAATAAAAGATCTATTGCAGACTTTCAGCAGTATTTCTCATTTTTCTCAGTGAAATTGCAAGTATAAACATTACTTTTTCCTCACAATGAGATTGGCATGATTGCCGAGTGGTGTCAACCTTAGTAAACACCCAGTCTTTTATATGCACTTAACTTTAAAAATAATGTTTTTGACAGGCAGAGTTAGTGAGAGAGAGAGAGGAGAGAGAGAGAGATAGAGAGAGAGGTCTTCCATTTTCTGTTGGTTCACACTCCAAGTGGCCGCTACGGCTGGTGCATTGCGGCCAGCGCTGTGCCAATCTGAAGCCAGGAGCCAGGTGCTTCCTCCTGGTTTCCCATGCAGGGCCCAAGGACCTGGGCCATCCTCCACTGCACTCCTGGGCCACAGCAGAGAGCTGGACTGGAAGAGGAGCAACCGGGACAGAATCTGGCACCCCAACCGGGACTAGAACTCAGGGTGCCAGCACCGCAGGCAGAGAATTAGCCTAGTGAGCCACAGCGCTGGCCCTAAAAATCAGTTCTTAATTATGCAAATATTATGATCTCCTGTGCAGTGGACGACAAGGGGCATTGCCAGGTTCAGGGGTAAATTTCTTCTAGGGCCCTGCTGCTCGGGTTGTAGGTGACCTGTAGCAAGGACTATGAATCACTGGAGACCCCTCCATGGGCCCGTTTCAGATGGCGACCTCTGTTGGTGGAAGCTGATTGCTATTAGTGTGTATTTAAGGCCAGGGCAGTGGTATATACAAAATGAACAAATGGACTGATGAACAGACAGACCACCTGGAAGGTCCCATTTGTATTAATTTGAGAGATGGGGGAGGGTGGAATAGCACTCCTATCCACTGGCTCACTCCCCACATTCCCAGCGCTGGGACTTGAACTTAGGTACTCCAATATGCACTGTGGATGTCTGAACTGCCAGACCCAAGATCTTCCCATCCCTTGGCCTTTAAACCCTAGTGTTTTTGGTTCAAATTCATCCAGACTCCTCCATTCTCTGTAAGTTCTCAAACTTACCCTTACATTGTCCCTGAGACTGTTGCAATAGGTAAGTTACCAAAAAAGAAACATAGAAGAGGCCTAGTGATAGCCTGTCTTCTCCCCTACTTTGTCATCAGGAAGGGAGGCCAACGGTCTTTACAAATCCCCTGAGAGGTAATGATAGACCCAGGGACCATTCCGGAAGAGTAGAATATGGTGGGGGAGGGGGAGAGGTGAAGAGAGACCTTGGAAGGGGGGACTGATAAAGGGGATGGGAGTTCGGGATCCCATCCCTGGAAACTGCTCCTTTCTGGAGCAAACTCTAAGAGGGGGATAGGATTCCTGGTG